TTCAAATAAGTAGAAAATCCCCTTTGATGTGAAATATAGCAGTAATCTGTAAGTAATTAAATAGATTTGACTATTTTTCAATGAATTACAAAGAAATAATTTCTTTGAAGTACCTTTTTACAATGAAGGATTCAATGATCGATCGATTGATTGATTGGGTGAGAGTTAGGCCAAGATCAATATTTTACGAGACCAACACGGTGAATTGCAAACATAATATAGAAGTGATAAAATTAAGAAAGAAAATCTGTGCTATGTATGCATAAGAAGAAATTCTAAGAAAAAATATGTAAGTAGTCAATAAATTAAAATGATACCTACTAGGGTTTGCTTAGCGCTGTTTATTTTTAGTTACAATTTATAGGAACTAAGGTAACTTTTGAACCAAATTATTATTTGGTCCTGTTTTGCAACAGTCAAATTATTATTTGGTCCTGTTTTGCAACAGTCAAATTATTATTTGGTCCTGTTTTGCAACAGTCAAATTATTATTTGGTCCTGTTTTGCAACAGTCAAATTATTATTTGGTCCTGTTTTGCAACAGTCAAATTATTATTTGGTCCTGTTTTGCAACAGTCAAATTATTATTTGGTCCTGTTTTGCAACAGTCAAATTATTATTTGGTCCTGTTTTGCAACAGTCAAATTATTATTTGGTCCTGTTTTGCAACAGTCAAATTATTATTTGGTCCTGTTTTGCAACAGTCAAATTATTATTTGGTCCTGTTTTGCAACAGTCAAATTATTATTTGGTCCTGTTTTGCAACAGTCAAATTATTATTTGGTCCTGTTTTGCAACAGTCAAATTATTATTTGGTCCTGTTTTGCAACAGTCAAATTATTATTTGGTCCTGTTTTGCAACAGTCAAATTATTATTTGGTCCTGTTTTGCAACAGTCACTAGTCAGTTTGATCATGACCAAAACGTTACCAGCAAAAGTCATCTAACTACACACTGTTGAAAAAAACACCTCCATTAATAAAAGAGGGGACTTCTAAAACGTTACAATCCACCAACTAATCTCCTCTCACAATCAGAGATCACGCAAATGTAAAAATAAATGAGCATTAACGGTCACATCCGCATTTAGAGTCGGTTGGTTTCAATCTTATCGGCAATGGTTACCGAACGCCCTCGACATGCGATGTCGTCGCGAGATACCATCATGAGGGTACCTTGACAGGGGCAATTTGTTGCTATTGAATCGTCACACGAGATTATTTTGTTGTGGACCAGATGATGTATAGTGTGATATCCTAAATTTGAATTGAATTAATGTGGGGTGTGAAATTGAGATGCCAATTTTTTATAGGACCTTGTTTATTATTTTGACGGTTATGCAATTTGTATCCTTTTTTGCTTCTAATTGTGATGGAACATTATCAAGGATCTATCCGACAATTACAATTTACAGAAAAAAACTAGATTAAAAGTCGTCTAGATTCGCGTTTTACCTGCTATAATGAGACTAGTTAAAATATTCAGTAAAAGTTACTATTGTTGGAGTATCTCTCTTGTCTTTTACCATTCTATTGAAATAAATAAATAGCTTATTTATTTCAGTAAACAAGTTCAATCCTTTGAGGATCCAATAAAAAGCCTAAAATGGCAAATAGAAAATATTTCTGTACCTATAATTCTATATTTCACATCGATCTTATGAAACCTAGAAGATATCTACCCAGATTCCACTTAAAACGTCAGAGCGTGCCAGTTTATTTGCTCGCATTTGTAAACTAAACATTAGATACGGTAGAATCGGAGGCGGAATATGAATCTTAAGGTATGATGGTACTGATATATTGAATTGATTTAAGAGTATTTTCTTTAGTCGACAACATTACAGACTAGTGGAACTATAGTGTTTATTACTTTCTACAAAGGTACACAAAGATGGATTTGTATCTTCAAATGTAGCATTTGCAAAAACCCAAGAGTTTATAACGAAAAACCGTTTATCTTTTGGTTGAGTCTTCTTTTAATATGCCCGGGTCGGGCAAAGTATTACTGGGTTTAAAAAAAATATATCAGTAGTAGCACGGAGTCTGATATTGTGCCCGGTATATGGCAATAGGCTCACCCCCTATTACATGGGACTCATAACATAAATAGTGAAAAGTGGGTGTTACATTGTACAGTGGCATAATGTGCACCTCTGCCTACCCCTTCGGAGATAAAAGGCGTGATGTTATGTTATGTTGTGTTACTAATTTATACTCGTGTATTTGGTAATAACTAAAATACCTATATGCTGCTTGACAGACATACCACTATCCTTGGATAATAGATATGGATTATGAATTGAGTACGCTGACACGTGTTCAGTATAGCAATTTTGCCAGGTACTACTTATACATTGATACACGTCGCGGAGAACCTAACGGGTAACCGGGGCTCCGGCTCGACGTGCAGGAGAAGGAACGGGGTGGTTTTTAGTCAGTAAGAGTCTGACACTCCCTCCCGCCTCACCCAGGCGGGAGCAGGCATTCGATGAATTTCCCCCCTTAGAAAAAAAATACATTGATACACAAAATATTTTTAACTGTCCATTCTATAAAGCTCTCGTTCAGAAATTTGAATAATTTGGCACCCATTCAATGCTATTTAAAATGAATATTAACTGGTATCAGTACTTCTTAACCGCTTCGATAAAAATAATGGATTTTAGCAGCTGTAATTACTGTTTTTTCTTACTATCGGCTAGACAGGCAATTTGGGGTCAATGATATTCTGAGATCTTAGCATGTAAAAGACATGAACTGCGATCTTTTAAAAGATTAGTATATTTTACTTTGCCTTCATATATTTTGAAATCCACTAGGTACCTAACACAAAAACATGAAAATTATTCACTGCGTCTATAAACGTAACGAACACAAAAGAAATTATCGTTTGTGTGGAAACTTCATAAAAATACGAGCAATCCTACACGCCACGGAAATAGTCTTTTCATATACAAAGCAAAAACTAATAAAACATCTTTATTTGCTTATTTTCCGCGTTGCGTTACACACAGAATTAGTTCGCGACCAACCAGTGTCAATAAGCGACCACCTCGCCGGCAAATCCAGTGCCCTGCCTGCCCAATGACGTTAGCTGCTGTAATTATATTGTCCTGCATACGTTCAGTGTGCAAACAATTGTTGCCAGTTCACAAATTAGGTGTGCGAATTACTTTGAATGTTTAATTTAGAGAATGTTTGATGTTCTAGTGCTAAAGCGGTAATGTAATTAAAAGAGTGCTTTTATTTCGTAGTGGTCTGTTTGAGCTGTTTTTGCTTTGTTTATGAGTGGATGGAGAAAAGAGGGCTATAGAGAAGTGTGGATTGTTTGAAGAGATAATTATGTGAAAGAAAAAGAAACTTGTGATAATATACCACATCTGATGAGGTCATAATTAACCTTGCAATCTTGCATAGATGCCAGATACCAAAGAAGATACGTGACCTTGAAAGAGGAGAAGATTGTAGGTAACATATTATTATGATAACCTCGTATAGATGCCAAAGAAGATGCGTGATGTTGAAAGAGAACAAGATGGTAACATCTGATTCGGCTACTTACAATACTATTACTACTAAGCACCCATAACCTGATGCAGAACATCTTACGTACCACCACGGGCCAGATAAAATAGATAAGTTAACGGTACACCTCTGTTAATATTTCATTCCATGTGACAATGAACATGATGTAACGTAAAAAGCACTCCCATTACACATCGTGTCAACTACAATATTGTATCCTGTATGCATTAATTGAATGACTTAATTAACAATTTCAAGGTAAAGGAAGCGTATCCGCGGAGTGAGAGGGGTTAGGAGGGAAAGAGGGGAATTATTATTAGGAAGCAACGGAAGTATGACGCGAGTGACAAATATAACTTGATCTCTCACCTCCATGGAGTTTGCGACATTTTTGTTCGATGAGTCTTGTTGGAGAATTGCTACTAGGCTTATTATCCGGATGCCTGGGATGCTGGTTGTTTACTAGTTGATATTTTAGTTTTTCATAACATGACATCACGCCTTATACCCCGAAAGGGTAGGCAGAGGTGCACATTACGGCATTTAATCCCACTGTACAATATAATGTTCGATTCACGGATCAGGCAAAGTATTACGGGGTTTAAAAAAAATCTTAGTAGTAGCACGGAGTGTGGAATTTTACCCGATATATGGGCAATAGGCTCACCCCCTATTACATGGGACTCATAATATAAATAGTGAAAGAGGGGTATTACATTGTTTTCATTAAGTTGAAACACGTAATGGTAAATATATAAATATATTTGACATTCATTTTAAACATAAGATAAAATTAAACATTTACGAGTCGGTAATTTCAGAAAGAAATTATAGCAAAGAGACGGATTGAAAGACATATTGATAGTTTTGGAGAGAGAAATGATTGGCATCAAATTCAAAATTCCATCGAAACAAAGCAATTATTATAGGAAGGATAAAGTAAACATCACAGAAAAACTCTTAACCAATGTTTACGTATCCAGAAATTGTTTTGAAACTTCATTGTAATAAAATCTTTCATTCACAGAAATTCCAAATGATTCCACATTAATTACGTAACATTCGGAACATAATAAAGCCGACCCAGTTCCCATTGAACCCACACAGATGTTGAACAAGTCACTATTTTTAATAAACTTCCCTTTATTATTATTGCTATGAACTGTTTTGATGGTGACATGAAGAAAGAATTTGACAAACACAATCTTATTCGCTTGGTATTAAAAGTGATATTTAGGAGAGAACCTTTAGAGATACATATACTTATTAGCATAATAAGTAGTCTTACGGATCTAATTTTAATGTACTAGACCTTACAAATCATTTCTAACCTGCTTTTGAAGTCCACAAACCCAATAATTGGTATATAATCCGACCCTGGGACGAAATTAAGACCTTGCATTCAACATCATTTACAAAAACCAGATCAACAACGCAATAAATTAATTAATAAACAATATTATTTTGTTTCAGATAGTATTCGGCCACGATAAACAAAAAATATTGAAGAAAATCTTGGAACGGCTCCAAAAATATTTGGACCTAAGGACGATCCATTAGGAAAATGAAAAGGTACCGCTGGTGATGAAATAGTGTACTGTGTTGATACAGTGACATCAATGTGTTCTTTGGACGATCTGGTGATTTCTGGTGATTCAGTGCTGGTGATTCGGACGCCTGATGGTGATCATGGCAAAGGATATGAACTTGTGTGTGCTGGTGATAGTGGTTGTGTTGCAGACTTTGATTCATTCCAGTTTGGAGATCATAGATTTACGTGAGTAGCATTTTTTATTCGTGGTTTGGTCTATTCAATGCTTTGTTTAACTTTTATATTTTTTTACATGCCTCCATTATTAAATATCAAGATCAATCCCTACAGGGTTTACTTAAGACGTTTTTGTTACATGACCTTTAATATGTTACTCATATTTCATTATCTACTAGGGTGCTAAGTTACCAACCACATCCGTCACTACGTATCCTTTTTACTGTCAGATGGCTAATTGATTTTATTTTTATAATCTTTAAGACTTTGAATGCCAATAAAAAAATGTTGAAGGTAAATCCTCCGCTAACGCCGGTCACCGGCGACCCCCATGGCGTTTAACGTGTTAAAATTGATTCATCAACTTTGTCACAACCGACTTATGATGTTGATAATAATAAAGTTTGTTATTCAAAATGGACACTAGCATATGGATATGACAAAACAGATGCAAGTAGATACAGTAAAAGAAGTAAATAAAACAGTAGTTGGTCCTCTGTTATTTCTACATTCATTTACAGTGACAAAGTTATAAGCTGACGTCTTGAATATACTACACGTCCGAGTCATTTAGCCACTGCACTTCGCGGTCCTTCACTTATTGTCTGCGCATCACTCAAAATATTCAGTTCTATATTTACATTTCCTGCGGATATACTCTTGCTGATGGATTCTCGCCATTGCGTCCACGCAATATGGTATCCGTGTTTACCAGTTATAAATCAAATAGCATCACAGATTAAAGTTCAGTTGATTGATATAAAAACCATGTGTGTTATAGTTTTTATATTTGTTTCCAGAATTGTTTGTTTTTTATTTACATTTAATTACTTTTGCGGTTTCCTTGTGAAATTGGGTCATTTTATTATTATCAGCATTTTGTATTTTATTCTTTACAGTATTTGCTGTTGTTATATAGCCTAAAAGGTCGTTTATTGCCTGACTTATATTTTCCAGTAGCTCGAAACTGACCTTGATTCTTAGCTTTTCATATTCTATCACTAGTAGACCCTGTTTACTATGTTGTGTGTTCAGGCAGGCAACAACAAACAAAACCTAATCGAACTATGTTCTTAGTCATCAAGCGTCAAACAATTGTTTCTGTAATTTGCCTACATTAAATGAAGACAAGTAATGTATATGAGTTGTAGTTGTGAGAAAATGAAACTGAAGAAGGATTCGTCATCGTTCGTACCGACGAAGCAAATAGTTAAGATTATTTTGAATACGGAAATAGAAGTATTTTGCGTAACAAAATATTTTAAGAATTGCGATGATTCAACAATTTATTTCAGTGGTACAGGATTTAAAATTAAATATTCGTGTTTAATTTTTTTTTCTTTTATGAGCTCCTATTATTTATTGCCGTGTCGTTGTTCTAGTGGTACTAAAGTGTTAGTATACATTTTAATTTTTCACGATCTACTTATTCGTGGAATGGTATCACCACCGAGAGAAGTTGGATTTGATTCATTAGTTCAACAAAATTGTAAGTGATATTTCGGATTCTTGAAATTGAAACATCACTCAACATGACATTTTGCATACATACTTAACCTCACGGCTATCTCCCATAGGGAAACATTTTACTCAGTGTTCAATCGAAATCATATTTCTTAGCATAAAGAGACTCAGAACACGACTTCTGCTAATCTGTTTAAGGTTTCCATGGCAAAACTGAAATTTTCTGAGAAAAAATGAGGTGAAACAAAATGTACAGTCATCGAATAACCATAAGCTTCGCTAGTTCTACTGAGGACGTAAAACTAAACGCACGAAACATGGCTGCCATAAATCCACGCCTGCCTATTTCTGATGAATACATGCGCAATGTTACGTTATATATAACATATTTCTTGCGGTTGACTGACATTATTATTTACACTACACTAAATCACGCATTTCCTTGGCGCTCTAAAAACAACGATGTATTTATTTCTGGGCGCCATCAATGCTGTAACCGTGGGACGTTACTAATCAAAGCTTAATGTCATTTCCACAGCGTTTTAGTGAAACCACTAAATATTCTAGACGTAAACACGTCTAGATTTTTGTCAAAAAAACTTTCTGTGACGTCTTTAGTACTGGAGGAACAGTTTTATTCGGCTATTTGTCACGTTACGCATAATTTCAGTTGTTATGTTTAGTGTCAAATAAATTATTAGATTTTTGCGGTGGTATGATGAGGTTCGCGCTGTGGGTTTTTCTCTCCACGTGTGTGGCATCCTGTATAAAAGTGAGATTTTTAATTTGTGAAGCGAGAAATGTCTCGTGAAATTTTAACGTAAGAATCTCTAATATTTTTAAGTTTTACCCAATTATTGCAACTTCTGTAAGTCAAATTCAAATTATGGGAGACCCATGCTTTGGCACGAATGGGCCGGCTCGACCGGAGAGATACCACGGCCTCACAGAAAACCGATGTGAAGCAACGCTTGCGTTGTGTTTCGGCGTGTGAGTGAGGTTACCGGAGACCCAATTACCCTCCCCTTCCCCAAGTTTCTCAATTCCCGAATCCCCAACGATCCTCAAACTCCTAATCCCCAAAAGGCCGGTAACACACTTGTAACGCCTCTGGTGTTCCAGGTGTCCATGGGCGACGCCGATTGCTTATCATCAGGTGATCCGTCCACAATATACTCGCATACTGAACAACTCGAGAATTACATTGGAGAACATAAATTCAAATAAATCCAATAAGGTTTCATCAATAACAGTGTTAACATAAAAAATATTTTAGAACAAAACCTTGTAAAGAAACTATCATAAGAAAATAATCCTATCACACTGCTTACATGAATAAATCCCAAAACCTAAAGTGCGAATAAGTAAGAAACCCTGTTCATATGCCAAATAATACTTTAGTGTTCGATAAATATGATTGATATTTGTATGGCCGTAGGCATTGTGATTATGCGTCAGCGCCACTCAACGCGACGTGCAGTAATGATTTACATCCATTTAAAGGTCACACGCATAAATAGAGCTAAGCTGAAACTAGAAATAGTTTAGTTGTTATTAGCACTTCTACTATTACATTACAGGTAATAGCAGAAGTGCTAATAGATAAAATGATCGAAATGTTACTACTTTCAATAGTAATGTTACTACTTTCTAGTTTTCAAGACTGCTTCGTTGGCCGAGTGGTCGCAAGTGCGACTGCCGGGCATGGGGTCTCGGGTTCGATTCCCGGGTCGGGAAAAGTATTACTGGGTTTTAAAAAAAAAATTTCAGTAGTAGCACGGAGTCTGGAAATGTGCCCGGTATATTGCAATACGCTCACCCCCTATTACATGGGACTTATAACATAAATAGTGAAAAGTGGGTGTTACATTGTACAGTGGCATTAAGTGTCGAAATGTGCACCTCTGCCTACCCCTTCGGGGATAAAAAGGCGTGATGTTATGTTATGTTAACATCTAGTTTTCATCAAATTATTCTGATGTCGAAACCAAAAAACGAGCACAAACATTATTAATAAAAATAATAAGTTAATCAAGCTTTGGATCCTTTGTTAGTTCTTCTATATTTTTTTACATAACGTCACTAACTCAATAGTAAACACGCATTGAACTTTCGTCATCTATTTTCGCTTCATAGAAAGTGTCGCCGTCGACCTGATTCCCTATAATCTGGCCATCGTCCAAACTTGCTGCGGTGTATTGCACCAGCGATTTTGTCATTCTTTGTCTTGTCAATAACACTATTTTTTGTTGACTAACAACACTGAGTAGGTTTTCCTTGAAATATTAAGCAGGACTTGCGTCGATTTAAGTGCTATCGGCTGCGGATATCTAGAATTTGAATGCTAGATCTGCCAGATAAAAGATGATCACAACATTCGGACACTATATACATATTCTTATAACTAATACTATGACTTATAGTCACTATGATTGTTTGCGAATTTAGTTACCATAGTCATTGTTGTTTTATAAAGTTAATCTGTTGGCAAATGGCAATTCCTAATTACATCTAAAAATCTTTGTTAACAATGCTTATTTCAACCCAAAAGTGGAACCAACGAAATAATCAATTTATTTAACATAACATTACGCCGAAGGGGTAGGTGGAGGTGCACAATAGGGCACCTAATGCCATTCTACAATGTAACACCCACTTTTCACCATTTATGTAATAGGGGGATTGCCATATACCGAGCACAATTCGATACTCCGTGCTACTACTGAGATTTTTTTAAACGTATCCTTTTCTTGACCCTGGAATCGAACCCGAGACCCCTTGTCCACCAGTCGCAATTGCGACCACTCAGCCAACGAGACAGTCAAATCAATTTATTTATGATTGGTTATTTGTTGAATTTTAATTGTGATCAATTAGTTTTTGTGATATCGTTGGCCTTATTAACAGATGCATGATATCTTAATTAACACACGGTCTCTATGTAAATAAACTAGAACAACTTTTCATTATCTTCCACACAACTCCAAGTTATAAATGAAACTGAAAAGTATCTTTGTTCTTAGGTATCTATTATTACACAAGTTGCTTCAAGTACTTTATAATTCTACACTCAAATCTAAGTACTTAGGTCGTGTACTTAAAACTTGAATTTAATTAAAATAATAAATCTGAGAAACCACAGTACACTTGAGAAGGCCATCTAGAACTGAAATTAATATTCATTCTTCATAAAGTGAAATTTCCAGTGAAATCTCCAACAATAATATAATTATTATTATTACAAAGGTTCATGAGAGAACATACAAAGCACATGAGCTTATCGCTACTGTATTAATTTAAATACTAAACGGAGTCTTTAATCTGGCAATAAAACTCAGATTACTGCTATCCCTTCGTTAAAGTACTGGGAATTAACGCTAAGGTCAAAAAGGTCACTTGACTTTACTAATTAACTCTAAAGGAGACGCTAATGCCCTGTCTCCTTTTACAATCACATTTAAAACATTTGATACTGTTTATTATTCCTTCGAAATAAAATATCCGATAAAGATAAATAAAAATATGAAAAAGAAACTGATCCGACT